TCAGCCAATGAGTTTCTACCGGCTTGGAACTGGACCGGATTCTTCTTCCAACCTAAGGGACTTTAGTGCAGGATCTTTTGTGGTTCTTCACGAGCTCAAAGATGCAGGCTGCCTGCTCCTCTCCCCCCACCTCGTCCTTGCAGGAGAAGACCTACCTACCTTCTCGCTGTTGCTGCTGAATTATAGGAAGAGGCTGAGGGATGGCCTGGGCGACTGGGGTGATGGCGGTGGCAGGATAGACAGCTGCAAAGCGGGGAAGGAAGGAGAGGGAGGTGAATACATTTCCCACGTCTGCTCCATAAATCTCATTAAGGACAGCTGCACAGATCTTCACAGATTTTTTTCAAGCATCTTCATGCAAATCTCCCTTTGCATGGAGAAAAGCTATCTAGATCAGGAGTGTCAAACTCGAAACCTGTCTGTCTGTCTGTCTGTCTATCATCTATCTTATCTATCTATCATTTATCTATCTATCATCTAATATCTATATCTATCTATCTATCTATCTATCTATCTATCTTATCTATCTTATCTATCTATCTATCTATCTTATCTATCTATCTATCTATCTATCTATCTATCTATCTATCATCTATCTATCTATCTATCTATCTATCTGAATATATATACACACACACACACACACACACACACATCAGATGGCAGATGAGATTCTGCCGAAACGTTGCTACAACTTTAAAAGCACAACTATAATGACGTGGGAAAATACCCGAACAAAGCTGAATGCCATACATGTAAGTACCCGCAAAAACTTAAGAAAACATATATATATGTTATATATTATATAATATATATTATATTATATTATATATATATATATATATATAATTTATATATATATATATAAATTAGGTACTGTCCATCTCATTTTCAGAGTGACTCTGGGCAGAGTATAACTAAAAGCATTAAAACATTAAACAACAATACAGTACATTGATTTAAAGAGCCAGGTATAATTAAGGATGTTAGAAGTTTAAAACTAATGACATTCTCTGTGGGGTGTTTTTATTCTTGTTTAAAAGAAGGGCTAGCTCTTTCCTTAAAAATTTCCACCAATTCTGCACATTTCCTCCTCTTGCTTCTTTGCAGCCTATTTTGACTCCTTCCCACCAGACCTAGATCACATTTTTTAGATTAGTTTTATCCCACCTTTATTATTTTTACAGTATAAATAGCTCAAGGCAGCGAGCCTACCTTATACTCCTTCCTCCTGCTATTTTCCCCAAAACAACACCCCTTTGAGGTCATCTGAGCTGAGAGATTGGGACCGGTCCAAAGTCACCTAGGAAGCTTGCATACCTAAGGCAGGACTAGAATTCCCAGACACCTGGTAATTGTCTCAAAGACACCAAGCCAGTTTTTTGTGCCTAAGGCAGGATTATAGACTCCTGGTGATTGGCCCAAAGTCACCCACCTGGCTTACATGCCTAAGGCAGGACTGGAATTCACTGCCTCCTGGTGAGTGGCCCAAATCACCGAGCTGGCTTTCATGGCTAAGGCGGGACTAGAACTCACCACCTCCTGGTTTCCAGCCTGCTGTCTTCACCAGGAGATCAAACTGCCTCTCAGCCTCACGCCCCAAACTGCCTTTTATCCCTCTTCCCCCCAACTG